GCAAGCATGGGAGGGAAAGGGAGAGAGGAACAGTGAGAGAAAGTGCAGGATGGTGTATACAGGATAATGTATTTTACAGGCTTAGAATATTGTGCACTTCATTTGACACTAGCCAGTAGGAGAGCTCAGTGGCGATGCGAAAGGGGTGCACGGGGATGCACGTGCACCTCCTGAGAGTGCCAGTGCATCCCTTGACAAGCCATGGTCACCGCTTAGGCAACACGCAGGGGGAAGGCAGGAACGCTGGTGCCCCCATTGCGAGCACTGGCTGGGGAGTGGGAACACCCCCCCATTGTTGAGACTGGCCACAGAGGGAGCTCTGCTGGTCTGCGGGGGGGGCTGCTCCCCCTGGCTAAGGTGGCACCAGTCACCCATGGGAAGGCTGCTGAAAAGAAACCAAGAAAGAACTAAGAGGAGGGAAAAAACAAAAACCAAGCAACCCCCCCCCCAAATAAACTAGAGAAACTAACCCTATCAACCCTTCAAGCTATCACTGGGCATCTACTTAAGTCGCACCAGCCGCCAGCTGCTGAAAAAGAAAAAAAAAATCCTGCTGTAGTGGGAGCTGATGGGGACAGGACTGTGGGAGTGGCAAGTGGTATAGAACAAGTGTCAGGCTCCTGATTCTGATCTCGCCCCCCCCACCCATCAGCTTCCGCCACTCCACACACTTCACATGATCTATGGCAGAGATAGGTTTTGCTTTGTGGACTGCCTTCCCACTTATCCTGATCTTAAGCGCTGTAGCCAGCCTTACTGGGCTGTATGCACTGTCTCTTTAAACCCTGCTGGTCTCCCATGCTGCCTGGCTGGGAGACTCTGTACTTTTCCTGGAGCCCCTGTGCTGCAAGGGAAAGTTTCCTGTGATTTCCTTTACTCCCTGCTTGCTACTGCTTGCTTCCAGTAAGTGCCGTTCCCCAACCCCACCACCTCCCCTGAGGCAATTTTGTGCTAATTTCAGGCAGGATGGGCATTTTCCTGCTCTTCAGGGAAACTGAAGGATTTCCTGCTTTACCTGAAAAATGCAAAACACGATTTAAGTAGATCCCTAGCTATCACACAAGAAAACAAGCAAAGAAACATTAAAATATTACAGAGAGTCCAGGGCTATGAAAAAAATCCCAGTCAGAAGAGAAATATTTATTTTAATATATGTAAGAATCCAAGTTAGCATAATTTTAGTGGCAGAAGTGATACATTCTAAATATGCATTGTCAATACTGAAAATGTACTTCAGTATTTTAAAAGGGGAACCTTTTGGAAAATAAAAACAAATGGAAATATTAGCATCATTAATTTTAAAACTTATTTTTTTACATTTATTATAAATAAAAAAAATCTTTCTTCAACTGAAAACAAGATAAATTTTCTTGTTGAAACCACTGTATGATTTATCAGTCTATTTAAAAAAAATATGGTTATTAATTTCCTAGTGGGTGAATAATTTGTACTTACTTATTGCGATAATTTAACAATGAATTATTGATAACAATTTAATGCCACAAAAATATTTCCATAACCAAATGTCCTACAGTATTCTCGGACTGTGTATGCTATGTCAGAAGCATTGAGATCGTCTACTTAGGTGCTGATGAAAGTTAGAGCACAAAGGGAAATTATGGAGATACTTCATCTTTCTCTTCTTAGTAGCTACTTTTGGGTGTTTTTTTGGAACTTTTTCCTTGACATACCCCTGAGACATCTTTTTATGACTAGTGACACTCACTCTTTATCCACATATTCTGTTTCACTGCATGAATGTGTAAAGAGTTGTACATCTGGGGAATACCAAACTATCAGCATTTAATCTAGAATATTTGGAATTTTTGGAACTCTTTGAACTACTAAGAATGGTCTTCTTCAAGATCCATCAATTACCAGGCCATAACTGCTCAGGCATTGTTGCTATGTCATAAGCATATGGAAATATTGAAGTAGCTGAAATACTAGAGTAAGTCCAAAACTGCTTCTGCAGAAATTCCATTAA